GTTCATTACTTATGAATAACAAAACCCGATATTTTTTTTCATTCCCAATTGCAATGGGATCCCAGGATGTAGACAATTTTCTTAATGCAATAATAAAAGTTCAGAGGATTATAATATTGTACATCTTATTTTATAGTAAAGTTTTAACCTTGTCTCCTGTAAAATTACTGATGCTGTTTGAAAGGGTTCCATAGAATGATTTAAAATTTTAAATCATGGTCTGACAATCCATGTTTTAAACACCTTCTTCAGTCTCTGAAGCTGCTGGCGGCTATTCCAGTTTTTTTTCATCATCCAATTGATCGAAGGAAAGCAGAGCATAGTTTCTTACTGCTAATGGCACAAGGACAGCTCAAGTTTTTCTTTTCTTTCCCTTGCAAAATAACAAAGGGTGCTGACTTCCCCTTTCCTTGTAACAATAATATTCCACATCATCCAGTGGAAGGGGAACATGTTGGAGGGTAGGGAGGAAAAGGGAGAAAATTAATCTGGACATAGTAATGTATGCTAAAACCATATCTCTTTTAATATCTGGCCTGAAGGGTACCTAAAGCCAAATGTCGCCAAAAGTGAGACCAGCTGGATTTAGAGAACATGTAGCTGAGAAATACCCCTTTCTTTGTTGTCTTGAGTTGCATGATGGAAGAAATCAGTTACAATACTCTTTATTTGATTTTGAATGTACTAAATACATAAATTTTAATCTACATTGGAAATCATAAAATATGGAAATCATTTATATCCACACTTTTCCTCTTATAAAATTCAAGGTGATATGGGGGGTTAAATAAACTTCCATAAGATTACTGATCACATTGAGACCTCCTTAGCTTTTACCACATGGTTGTATTATGTATCTTGAGACTATCAAGTCATAGAGTATAGTCATACAAGATACTGAATCACAAATGCCAACTATATTGTAACCAGCATATTCTGCAAACCCAGATGTGTAGTTAGATGATGGTTCAGTGTGTCATTAAACCCAGACATTAAATACATTTCTACCCCATTGCAATCAGAATGATTCCCAGCCAACATATAAATAAAAACAATTTTTAGACATCCAGGGCAGCAACTGAAAGTATGCAATGACTTGTTACTCAACAACCAATTACATTGAATAAACCAAGTTTGTTATCCATGTGAAGATAACCACACACCTGGCTATTGTAATATGTAACATAACCTGAGGGACATGATGCTGCTATGGAACTAAAGCTAAACAAAGATTGGATGGGGAACTTTTGAAAACAAATTTTATACTATGTATTCAATGATAGAACATATATATTTGTACATAAATATTACAAAAGGCATTCGTCTCCAATGATTAAACACAAGTAAACAATGACCTACTGTAATAATTTCCTGCCGGATATAATTATAATTTTAAAGTTGAATACAATTCAGATTACTTTTTGAGGGATTTAGAAATACAAAGCAACTTCTCAAAACTTCTCAAAATTGTAAGACATCCCTTTAAATTAATAAATAAATCCAACATTACCTTATTGAAATTCCTTGCATGAGGTGAATAGAGAAAACAAATCAAAATTGGCACATAAACCTTATTTCCATAAACTTGTTTGTCCCTGACTTCTATTTTTAGCTTGTTTGGGCTAACACACAACTGTTTAAAGCATCAATTTACCTGTATATTCAAAGAGGATATGAATGGTTAGTTTTAAAAACATGTAATTTAGGAAATATCCATTTACTTCAATTTATCTAAACTTCTTCTGTTGAATTATACAGTAGAACTGTACTGATTGGAAGTTTGCTAAAGAGATTGTGTGCTCTTCTTTTATTTAAATAAACAGGATGGGCAGCATAATCTGCCTGACCTGTTTCTACTGCTAAAATATAGTGCTTTGCATCTCTGGATTTTTATTTTATTTTATTTTAGAGATAGAAACCCAACAGAAGGCATTTTTGTTATATATAACAATCTGCTTGAGTCATAAGATGTCTGTATTTCAAATTTACCAGCATACATACAAGCAGATGAAGGCTGCAAAGTTTAAGTTCTGCATTATCCGTCTTAGCCTTTTTGGCCAAAATTGTAATTATTTTAATTGCAGATGGAATTAGGGAGTAAAAAAGGGATGTTAAGTATGTCTTAATTGAATGTATGGCTTAACATATGTGCATACAATGCTAATATTGAAAAAATCACATCCTTCAAAGTATTGCTAATAGCTATGGGTGAGTTGCATTCCTTATCCCACCATTTTGTGTCCTACTACTATTCAAAATAATTCACCTGCCAACTATTTCCTAATCTATGTCTTCTGTTCATTTACAGAAAACATAATAAAAACCCAGCAAAACAAAACACTATCTCAATAGTATTAAAACAGCAGCCAACTTACAAACATATTCCTAACATGGTTTTTAAAAGATTTCCCAATATTTTATTTGATTTGATACTGCCTAACTTCTAAGGGACTCTGCACAGCTCACAATACAGTAAGGATATTGATCAAAAGGCAAAGTAGAAAAGAAGAAAGAGGAAGATGGTGAATCTACTAGGCAGCACATTTACAAACATCCTCTGGAGGCTCCAGCTAACCAAGCTCAAGGCCTAGGAAAATATGGCCCTCCAGAAATCCATCAGATAGGAATCATTAAAGGGAGGCATACTATTACACTTAAATGCAGTGTCTTCCATCCAATGGCCATGGAGAAGCATAACTGATAACAGATAATCAGAGTTGGAAGGGACTTCTGTAGGTCATCTAGTCCAACCTCCTGCCCAAGCAGAAGACCCTACACCATTTCTAACAGATGGGAGTCCAATCTCTTCTTGAGTGTCTCAAGTGATGGCACTCCCACAACTTCCGAGGGCAAGCTGTTCCATTGGTTGATTGTTCTTATTGTCAGAAAAACATAAGGGCTCAAAGACTTTCAAATCTGAAAGTCGCTTACAAGATCAGAATCTTAGTTTCATGACTACACATTGCCCTCTAGGCTGAATTTCTCATAATGCTTGGCTGTGGCTTCTTATAGCTGAAACCTCTCCCCCACATCCAGCCCCCTTGCCAAAAACTGGAGGGTTCCAGGAAAAAGAATGGGCATATTGACAAAACTGCATTATTTTGCAGGATCAAACAATTGTTAATTCAAAATTAACAAGTGCAGTTTCATGTTTTTATATTGGTAGTGATACTGACAAAACTGACTAAGGACAGCTATTTCAAGCTGCCATGGGGCAGAATGGTATTTACAGCTAAGAGTATTATATAACATATTCAGTCCACAATACAGACGAGAACTATCAGTGCTTATTAGGTTTGTTTTTCACTGTGCATTTGTACAACAGGTTTATAACCTTGAACAATACAGGAATTTATCTTTGAACGAAATAAAACAAAAAATATCCTTAGGGCAAACAAAAATATATCTAGTATGAAATTAAATGTTTAAAGGTCAAGGACACTTCCATTTTAGAATATTCTTAAAACTAACCTACTCTATTTCAACAAAATGTACAAAAATCAAATGCTGATTATATCCTAGACACTTATTCTCATAGCAGAAGTGCTAATTGGGGGGGGGGGGAAGTGAAATTCACTAAGTGAATGAACAATTTAGATATTATACACATGGTTAAGATGGGCCACAAATAAATTTAATAAATACATACATAAAAAATAACGACCAACTCTATCTGCAAAGCCAATTCAGCCTAACTTCATTATCATAGAATCTTAAGAAAGGGTAACAAAATAGAAAATCACTTGATCACATTTTTACTGCATACTTTCTTTTGCCATTTTGGTTTTTTTAACCTCATTTGTTATCTGATTGTTCTAGGACCAAGGATGGCAGCAGCCTGCCAGAATCTCAGAAGAGATATGGAAAGACTTGTGAAATTATAAGAAAAATTATACATTCTTATACAATTGTTTTTCAATGAAGCCTGGGAGTATCTGATTGTGTATGTGACTGAGATCCATGCCAACTTGTGGCGATGCATGCTACATTTTTATCTGCAATCTAGCATGTGGTGGAATTCTACCGGTTCGTCCCGGTTCTGCCGAGCCAGTTGTGGCGATGAGCAGTGGAGACCGAATCGGTTCTTTCCACTGCTCTGCTGTTGGGCCCGCCCACCCGCCCATATTCACCTTTATGCTCTGAATTTGAAGCGCAGCTGCTTTGCGCAGCACAGCAGAGTGCTGCGTGGCAGTTGCTGAAGTTACCGGGATCATGCAGGTGAGTTAGAATGCCCCTGTGCCTGCGCAAAGTGTGCGTTTGGTGCGTACACGCGCAAAGTGCACCCACCAAGCCACGCCCACCAAACCGGTGGTAAAAATATTTGAATCCCACCACTGTCTAGCATGCAATTGATATTTCAATACATTCAGCAGTCTTAATTTCTCCCATTCACCTCAGGTTTTATCTCCCCTCACATCTACAGTTCAGGTTCATGCAACCTTGCAGTTTTATCATCAATGTTGTCATCAATGTTCAGTTTTAGGTAGTGGGTTAGCATATATCTGATAGTTTATTGACAAAATACTTATCTGAAAGGATGGAAGAGCCAATCCACTGCTACTATCTAAAAGCATTCAGCTTTCAGATTTTTTCCCTTGTGATGTGACTTTGTAGCTGTGTCAGCTGGCAAACATTTTCCTTAGGTTCCTTTAAGTAGAAACTATTTTGGTGGGGTTTGATTTTGGTTGGCTAGATTTTATGGTCTTATGTTAGTCTAGAAGAGATCCTGCTGTTTTTAACATGCTTTATCTACTATATTATGTTCTGAAGTTTTCTGTAGTGTATCCTGGAACCTGAACCCTAGGAATGCTAAATATAGCATTATATTTTAGATAACTGTGTTGTATAATGTCGTTATGTAGTACTGCATGCCATTTTGGTAGCTGGGCAATTAAAGAGAAGCAATTAAAAGAAAGTAGTGAAAAAAGTATCTAATAAATAAATAAGTAAAAAATATCGATTACGTCTAGGAAATATAGATTAATAAAATATTCGGCACACTTCTTGAACACCACATTTATTCACTCCACGACAAATGGCAGATTACCACTGTGCTAATGATGCACACTGCTTACAGAATAATTAGTTTCCCATGATGTAGCTCAGCTCGTTTACAGCTAGGATGACAGTTCAAAAATTCATACTGAAGATTGCAAGTTTTAATGATGCTGAGGGCTGGTTCCTGAAATAACATAATCTTAATTAGACCAACAACAAACCATTTTTAATAAAATACTTATACTTTACTGGAAAATTATGATTTAAAATGCTAGGGGGGAAACATCAAAGTCAATTATAATATGACATATTCCACTGGGCACTACCTAATTTTGTTTTCTCATTGGAAGATTCCACCAAATGTTCCTCAATTTTACGCCCCAAATTTGCTCCAGAGTGTCATAACACAGGGGTCTCCAACCTTTTGGATCCCAGGGACCACCAAACTCATATTTTTAAATCCCAAGGACTACTAATACGAATTTTTTTTAAAGCTAATATATTTAATATAATTTTCATGCTAAATGTATGTATGTATGTATGTATGGTAGGTATTCAGCTTTGTTCGGGTATTTTCCCATGTCATTATAGTTGTGCTTTTAAAGTTGTAGCAACGTTTCGGCAGAATCTCATCTGCCATCATCAGGCTTCTGTATAGTGTTCGTTTGTGAGTCAGACTTTCCCAGCCGTTTCTGTTTTAAATTTGGTGCTAGCCTACGTTGTGCCAGAATGGTTTTTTCTTCATCCTGATTGGTTGGGAGTCTTGGTCTGTGTTTATTGGTCTTGGAGTTTGCTGTGTTCTGCTTGATTGCTGTTTCTAATATCTTCTGTCTGTTTTATAGCTTTTTTTGTCTTGATTGGCTGGCAACATTGTGTTTCCTGTGTTGGAGGCTTTTAGTGCGGCTTGGCTCCGAGTAAATGGACGTCTATCATTTATTAGGAAGCTAGGTTTCATCTAGGTGCCTGGTTGGGGTGTGTTTGAGCTGGAGGTATCTGTTTGTGCCCAAGTGTTTGCCTCGCTTGTGGTGTGGAGATTATTTTTGTTTGAGAGTGCAGGCTTCTAGATAATTGACAGTCTGGGGGAGTCATCTCTTCTTTTCATGCTTTCAGGTCTTTTTTCAATCTCTATGGCTTCTCTGATAATTCTGTGGCTGGGGTTTTCTATAGTGGCTAGGGTTTTGGTGCCATTGAAGTCGATGCTATGACCTGTGGCTTTCATGTGTTGGACTATGAGGAGGAAGTGTGTTCCAGCTTTTTTACTGCATTTTTGTGTTCATCCAAGTGGGTACTTATTCTTCTATTGGTCTGTCTGATGTATGTGGCAGGGCATGATGTGCAGGGGACTTCATATATGCCTTGGTTTTCCAGGTCAATTTTATCTTTGGGATTTCTTAAGATGGCTGCTATTTTTCTGTCTGTTTTGAAGGCAGTTTTGATGTGATGCCTGTGTAGTATCTTACTGATTTTGTCTGTAGTACCTCTTATGTAGGGCAGGACAGCTGTTCCATAGGTCTGTTCATCTTCTAGGTTTCCATTATGTCTCAGTGTGTTTCTGTGGATCAAGCCAGTGATTTTGCTTTTGTGGAAGCCGCTGGCTGTCAGTACTTTAGTTGGGGTGCATAGTTCAGTCTTTATGTGTGTCTTGTCTGCCAGGCATTTGGTTCTGGCAATTAGTGTTTTGGCCATGGAGTTTATCTGTGCTGGGTGGTGGTGGGATTGAGCGTTGAGTTAGTGGTTGGTGTGTATTTTCTTCTGGTATATGGTGTGTCCTAGTGTGCCATCTGTTTTTTTGTAGATTAGTACATCTAGGAATGGTAGTTGTTTGTTTGTTTCTCTTTCCATGGTGAATTTGATTTTGGGGTGTGTGCTGTTTAGGTGTGTCAGGAAATTATTTAGGTTTTCTTTTCCATGGGGCCAAATAACAAATGTGTCATCGATGTATCTTAACCATAGTTTGGGTTTGTGGGTGGCATTGGCTAGAGCTCTGGATTCGAATTCTTCCATGAACAGGTTTGCAATGACAGGTGACAGCGGTGATCCCATAGGGGCTCCTTCAATTTGCTTGTATCTTTGTCCTTTGTATATGAAATATGTGTTGGTTAAGCACTGTCCACCAGACTGTCAATTATTTGGAAGCCTGCATTCTCAAACAAAACAATCTCCATACCACAAGCCAGGCAAACACCTGGGCACAAATAGACACCCCCCCCCGATACCTCCAGCTCAAACACACCCCAACCAGGCACCCAGATGAAACCTAGCTTCCTAATAAATGATAGCCGTCCATTTACTCGGAGCCAAGCTGCACTAAAAGCCTCCAATACAGGAACACAATGTTGCCAGCCAATCAAGACAAAAAAAGCTACAAAACAGACAGAAGATATTAGAAACAGCAATCAAGCAGAACACAGCAAACTCCAAGACCAATAAACACAGACCAAGACTCCCAACCAATCAGGATGAAGAAAAAACCATTCCGGCACAGCAGTAGGCTAGCACCAAATTTAAAACTGAAACGGCTGGGAAAGTCTGACTCACAGGCGAACACAATACAGAAGTCTGATGATGGCAGATGAGATTCTGCCGAAACATTGCTACAACTTTAAAAGCACAACTATAATGACGTGGGAAAATACCTGAACACACACACATGCATATACATACATATTACATACATACATACATACATACATACATATACATATACACACACACACACATATACACACACATTTAATTATAACAAAAATGTAAATGCTTCATGATAACAAACTAAAACGTTCTGGGCTGGAAGCCTCCCCCCACCTGGCACCTTCGAAAGAGACAGAAGAGCAGGTGGTGTGTGTGTGTGTGTGTGTATCTGAGCTGAGGGGCCTGGGGCAACTGCCGCTGGGAGAAGCAGAGGCAGAAAGGGGGCTTTGCTCTCTTTGGGGGGCAGTGCCCCTTGGCTGCCACTCCAGGGGCTTCTCAGCAGGCATCTGCCTGCAGAAGGACTGCTGCCCTTATTGATTAATTGGGAAAGGGGAGGGAGAGAAAGTGGGAGCTCCTTTCAGATCCAGGGTGGAGGATTGAGAGGCTCAGATCTGCAGCTGAGGAAAAGCTGGGGGGGGGGGAGGGCTCTTCCAGCCTCACCTGGAGACAGGCAAGGAAAGGTGTCCCTAGGGGTACTTCGCTCGCTTTAGCACTTCGTTGCCAAGCCCAGCCACAGCCAGTGATTATTTGGGGGCGGGGGAGAGAGAGAGAGAGAGAAAGCATCTCTTGCATTACCCGGGGAGGAAAGGAGGTGAAACAAAACTCACTCTTTCACTGAGACCTACAAAATGCCAATCTACCATGTTCCAGGAGTTCTTTGAAATCATCAAACTTGCAGTTCCCGTGCCTCCCAGCTCAGGTCCCACACATGGCGGCGGCGGCAACAACAGACCCTTCCCCCAGCTCCCGTTGTCAGCTTTCCCCATTAGTTTTCTAGCTTTGAATTGCTCCCGGCTCTCTTTCTTTCCTCCCCCCCGCACCCACGTGCAGGCAGGAAAGGAAAGGGAGATGGAGCCGTGCACAGCTCTCCCCTTTTTCAGCCCTTGCTGCCTCTCCCAACATCGAAGCCTCAGAAACGCAGGCAAAGCCGCCACAGCAGTAGCACCCTGAATTGCTTGCTTCTCCACTACTGCCTCCACCTCCTCCAGCACCACTTCCTTCTCTGGGTAGGGTGATTCTTAACTGAGCATGCTAAGGAAACTCAGGACGCTACTGCTGCGGCGGCTTTACCTGCGTCTCCGAGGCTTCGATGTTGGGAGAGGCAGCAAGGGGTGGGAGAGTGGAGAGCTGCGCATGGCTCCGTCTCCCTTTCCTGCCTGCACGTGGGCGTGGGGGGGGGAGGAAAGAGAGACGGGAGCAATTCAAAGCTAGAGAACTAATGGGGAGAGCTAACAGCGGGAGCTGGGGGAGGGGACTGCTGTTGCTGCCGGCGCTGGGTGTAGGAGCTGGTTGGCGCGTGCATCTCAGGGACCTGACTCCGGGGTCCCTCGGAGAGCCGGGAGGCACGAGACCTACACGGCCCAGATTAATTGCTTTTGGGGGCTATTTCTTCTGTGGCCCACCAAAATTTTGCCACGGTCCCCCGGTTGGCGACCGCTGTCATAGCAGACCTAAGTTATACATATGAGATTGAAGTAGGAAAGAAGATCATACATCTATCAATTATTCTGAAACAGAAGTATAACTCTGAATTCTTCAAAGTTTGTTCCTTTTGCTCATTGTGCCTGATGCACTCTGAATAGATATGCAAATCTAAGTGTTATTTTATAAAAACACATAATATGCTACAATCTAGATAAAATAGCATAATGCTGTGCATGTTTACTTGGTAATCAATCACACTGTATTCAATATGTTTCACTTTGTAATACTTATGAACTACAGCATTTTTGCACTTCAAAATACCAGTAGTTTCCCCTTGTTATGTGTTTCACTTAGTTTAGCAAACTGACAAGAGCTAACCTCTACCCATCCCCTGAATATTTTATTAAGAGTTGCTTTGGATAATGAAATGGATAGCATATAAATTTAACAAATAAACTGGCTTGGATAATCCAATTTAATGGGTTAAGTAGTGGCCTCAGGAAAAGCATCTGGTCAGTGAAGACTCAACTTCATCCAGTCATCCCAATTCTACCCCGAATTAAGGGATTACAGGGTGATAAAAAGGGAGTTTTTTTATTGGGTTAAGAGGAAAGGGGATACAATCATAAAAGTCACTGATGGTTTTTAGAGCTACTCCTTACTTTTCCATATATCACACTATTTTAGTTTCCACCATGTGGAAAGAAGGAGCCCAGCTAGCCTAGATTCATGCCAAGTAAAATGTGAATCTTATTTAATGGCTATACATATTAAGAAAATCTTAGATTCAGAAGAAGTATCATTACTTTCAGAGCTTCATGTACACATTTGGTACTAACAATAAATGCAGAACCACTGTCAAGTTCTACATTAAGATCTTAATTAATGAAATGTAATTATGACAGATCTATATGCATTTCCAATTATACTAGCACTTACTCCTCTTCTCTTTTTCCGCTGCATTTTTACCTATGGATAAAAGAATTTCATTATTAAAAGGCAAAACAATAGTTCCTAATATATTTAGAGACATAGATCGCATCAGGACAAAGCTATATTTCAAGAAAAAAAAATGTATATGTGAACCCAAAAAGTCAATAATTACAAAAAAATCTGTAAATTTAATACCAGAAATTTTGTAGTCATAGATGAAAAATCTTATTTCACTGAAAGTTTGGATTACCTTTCAATGATTTTGAATTATTTATTCAATTTAACAATTTGTTTTTTGGTTATTTTGACACTAATGTCACTAATGCCTTGAAATTACACATTTATTACAGATTGCTAAATAATACATATTAGGTCCAAAACCAGTAACCTGATTTTATAAGTATTTGAAGAAATAAGATTGTTGGTATAATTTTTGCAAAATTTGAGGCAAGTTTGATATCCATTAATTGTCTGAATGCTTCAGGTAATGTTTTATTAAGGATTGGTTACAATCACTATGAGACAGTACTAACAATGCAATTCAAGAGTTGGAATGTTAATTCACATGGCTTCATCTTGCTTTCCTCTTATGATATTTTTGTGCTAAAATCCACAGAAATCTTTGAATCAGGGCTGAAGATGTTGTTCTTGAAACCTACGTATGTTTTGAAGCAGTAAATAGGTAATGGACTGTCAACATCTACATTTTTAATAGAATGATCAGGAAAAGCTTAATGTCATATTATCACATGTATTTTGTTGATTTGTTTTATATAATAAAAAATGAAATTCCTTGATTGATCTTCAACAGCAAAAATTGCTTCAGTTATATAATACCTCTGTACAATGAATATAATACAAGGCAAAAAGGGAAGATACGGTAATCTTGTATAAGAAAATTTGATCTATTTTCAGTCAACTAAAGATATACCATAAATCAAATGGAATGCATAATCTTTTATTGTACTTAAGTTATTTGGATGCAATTAAACTTAAGACAAGAAGCCATAACACAAATTTGGGAATAGATTGTCAGGCCACAGATCATTAAAAAATCAATTGAAGCTTCCCCATAATGATTTCATTAATATAATCAGTTTGTAGTATATTGATTATCTACATCTAGCTTAATAAAAATTATTTATATGGATGCCAAAAGTTACTCAATAGCTGAGTATTGTAATTTTGTCTTCTATCTCAAATGAATAAAAAAGAAAGAAGAGCTAGTTTATTAATTAAATTTATATGCCACCCCTTTCAGTGCTATAGCAACTTTGTGCGGCTTAAAGCATAATAAAAAATACAAAACTGTGAAAAATTAGGAAAGATTAAATAAAGACTAAAAAGCAAGAGGACAGGTGACAGGGAGTGGGGATTTTTCCTCTACCCTGTGAGCCACCCCAGCATAAAGTGCCTCTATCAGGGCCCCAAGCCAGCTGGCAGAGCCAGGTTTTAAGGCTCTTCTAGAAGGACAGGAATGTGGAGGCCAATTTCACCTCCAATGGGATTATATTTCAAAGGGAGGGGCCACAGCAGGAAAGGCTCTTCTTTTAGACCCCGCCAGGCAAAATTCTTTGGCAGATGGGATCTGAAATAGGCTTCTTCTGCTGAAGTGAATGGGATGGGTTAATCCTAGTACAGTGAGATAGTTCCTCAAGATACCCTGCACTCATGCTGTGCAGGGCTTTAAAGGTGACAACTAACACCTTGAATTAGACTTGAAAGCAAACTGGCAACTAATGCAGCTCGAACAACAACAGTGTTAAATGTACCACCCAAGGAGCCTTCAGAACTATCTATGCAACTGTGTTCTGTAGTAGTTGTAGCTTAATAGTCTTCAAGGGTAGCCCCATGTAGAGTGTGTTGCTGTAATCCAAGTAAGAGATGACCAGGGCATGAATGACTGCACACAATTTAGTGTAGCAGTTAAGGTGCTGGCCTAGAAACCAAGACACAGTGAGGTCTACTCATGCCTTAGTCATGAAAGCCAGCTAGGTGACCTTGGGTCCAGTCCTACCCACGCCAAAGGATTGTTGTTGTTGGGAAAATAGGAGTATTAGATATTTTCACCATTTTTAGTTACTTATAAAGTAATAAAGGTGGTATAAAAATCTAATAAATAAATCCAAAACTGCATATGTAACTAGACTTCCAGAATACAAGCATATAAACTTTACCTCCAAATTCAAGTCTGTAAAAAAGGTATCCCGTTAAGATCGCAGAAAACACGATAGGTTGAAATTCTTGTGAAGGTTTATACATAGCCCACAACTTTGAAATATTACCCAGCATCTGTAAGTAGGAAGCAAACAACATAAATAAACTAAAACTAAACTAAATAAAATAAATAAAGAAAATAAACTAGTGCTTACTGGTTTATTAAATGTATGTGCCTTTTATATTTAAATTTGGAGTTTAATTAGTGACCTACAGACACTCCTCTGTATATGGAGGCTTTATTCAGAATGTAATTAGCTTGTCCTTCATTTACCCAAGAAAGTAAGAGTTCTTTTGGGTCACACTTGAAATCTATTATCTTGTAATTTGCCAGTGATCAACTACAAGCCACCGAGCATGAAACCAAAAGCCAACCCTTATTAAATTTATTTCTCCAGCCTAGCAAACAGCATCCAGTTTGTTGGACCTTTTTATGAGTTAACCATAAACTACATTAAGTGTACCTAGCCAATTGTGGATCTTTTGTGAAACTATGGCTACCCAAGCCATAGCTTAGATTCTACAAGAGCAAAAAGCTCAAGATGAGGCAGCTTTATATATTATTTTCCATCCTACAACAGATATCTCCAGGACATAAATCAAAATACAACACATCTGTATACCACACTGGCAACGCCAACCTAGTTTTTATAGTAGCTTCATGTAGTATATCTCCCCTAATAAATTTGTACAGCTTTTCCGTGAAGAGAATAAAAGGTATGTATCAAAAGATGATAGCAACTTCCACCTCTAGTGGCAATGAATTTCATATACTCTAGGACTGGTTCCCCAAGGCTCATTTTTAACAGACGCAGGTAGGAACTGCAGCTCAGGAAAATGTATTCCTTTAAATAGCTTGTTAGTTGGATAAGATGCTACCAGTTTTTGCCATCATAGACTAAACAAGGCTCTCCTACTACAAAGTAGGGCGCGAGTGAAAGTGGGGGGTAGTAAGTCCTCTAACACAGGGGTCTCCAATCTTGGCCACTTAAAGCCTGGCGGACTTCAACTCCCGGAAATCCCCAGCCAGCAAAGCTGGCTGGGGAATTCTGGGAATTGAAGTCCCCCCAGGCTTCAATCGGCCAAGGTTGGAGACCCCTGCTTTAATACGTCTTACTCTATACTCCCAATCCTTCCCCTGCTGTCATAATAGCTGGGACTGGTCTCTGACTATACAGTGTCTTTTGTGCTCCCTAGACCCATCCCGGTAACCTTCCCCAACAAACGGTGCGTTGATTTCATTCGCAAACGAGACACTCGCAAGGCGCCTGACGGGGCGCTGACAGGCAGCAAAAGGGTAAAAAAAAGTCTCTTAGCCAGCCCGCTATTCCCAAATGGTAACATCAAACCCACCTTCAAAGTCAGAGAAACCCCAGGAAAGAAAGGTCACAAACGGATGATTGTAAAGTAAGAATGCCGCAAGGCTTGCTGGGTACGGAAACAGCGTTTGCCTAGAACGGCTCTTCATCCCGCTTCGCCCGCCTACAGCTCCCCCTGTTTAGGAGAAAAGAGAAGAGTCGCTTCCCGTCCCGCAATGGCTGTACGTTGCCGGAAAAGAAACCTTGCTCTGGCTTGTTTTCTGCAGATTTCAGTTCTTCCGAATAACGGACAATTCGAGGCACAGACACCGATGTGCAAGGAAGCCCCCTGTTATTTCTGTTTCTCCACGGGCAGGAGCATTAGCTGCCACTTGAGTTTAGAATACATTTACGGTTTCAGTTAGATTCAGTGCGTAGAGAGAAGTAAGCCTGCCAAAGAGTATATCCAAGAGAGGCTGAAATAACCATGGACGCTAGCAGGCGGATTAATTCCGTTTTATTTGATTAATTGACACTGTATTTTAAGTCGACTTGAATAGAACTGGGCTGTCCTCCTGGCTAACGCTTTGTATAGTCTGCTATGTCTCTGTTAATTCATGTTAGACTAAGATGTATGATTTTCCTCGAATGATACACTCCTATAAATTCAGTGTGACTCTCATCCCAAAAATATGCATAAAATGTGCTTGTTTTGGCTTACATTTTACAATCAAAGCTTAAAGTATACACTTTTCACTTCAAGAATATGCCATACTGATTTCAATAGAGTTTACTCCTAAGTAAAAATGTATAAAATTACTACCTTAATCATCACAGTTGTTCTTTTAAAGTACAATATATTAAATATTCATCATAGAAATGCAGCCTATTGAATAGAGGCAGCAAATGGTTAATTTGCTTACTATTCACAATTAAGAATTGCAGCTTTGATTGTTGTAACATGGGATGATCTCAAAATAGAACTTTCTTCACAACATAAACTGCATATAATATTTATTTTATTTAATTTATTTATTTATTTGATTTGCCAATTGTTTACAAGATAATAAGTATAAGTGTATACATAGTTGTGAATACATGAAATGGGTACATATAAGAAAAATAAAAGAATAAGAGAAACAATAGGACAGGGACGGTAGGCACGTTGGTGCGCTTATGCACGCCCCCTACAGACCTCTTAGGAAAGGGGTGAGGTCAATAGTAGACAGTCTAAGGTTTAAGTTTTTGGGGTTTGGGGAAGAAACTACAGAGTCGGGTAGAGTATTCCAGACATTGACCACTCTATTGCTGAAGTCGTATTTCCTGCAATCAAGTTTGGTGCGGTTAACTTTGAGTTTGTATCTATTGTGTGCTCTTGTGTGTGGTGGTCTGACATTCGAAATGAGACACAGGGAAAATGTCTGAGCAAATGCCAGCCCTGAGTGAACTCAGGTAGCAGTATTTATTGAGAAAAAAGTAAAACAAAAGTACAGTATGCATTCAGAAAACAATGACCTCTACAGAATTACCTCACCAGCATGAGAACATACAATCTTGGAAAGTCCCAGATGTTACCTTACTAGGATGAGATCATACAGCCACGGAAGTCCCATGGGAAAGTCTGGAAAGTCCCATGAGAAAGCACAACTGTGTACCTTGAACTTTTACCTATTTTCCTGTTCCTTCTAAACTTGCAGATCAAAACAGGATGAGACATTCATTGCAAAGGTACTCCTACCCCCACCAAGAATGCCTGCATATCCCTAGATCTATGCTAATAGTTGTACAAAGGACTTACAGAAAATGATCAATAAAATATATTACCACATTGTGTTGTTATGGTTGAAGCTGAAGTATTCATTGACAGGTAGGACATTGCAATGTATGATTTTATATACCATGCTTAAATCAGACCGAAGACGGCGTAATTCAAGGTTTTCTAGTTCTAGAATTTCAAGTCTGGTGGCATAAGGTATTCTACAACGAGTAGAGGAGTGGAGAACTCTTCTTGTGAAATATTTCTGGACTTTCTCAATTGTGCTAATATCAGATACGTAATGTGGGTTCCAGACTGATGAACTGTATTCGAGTATTGGTCTAGCAAATGTTTTGTATGCTCTGGTTAGTAGTGTGATATTACCAGAGAAAAAGCTACGTAGGATTAGGTTAACAACTCTTAATGCCTTTTTGGCTATGTAGTTGCAGTGGGCTCTAGCACTTAGATCATTAGAGGTGAGTATTCCCAGGTCCTTTACAGAGCTTGGGTCATCAACAAGATCTTGACTATTCAGCTTGTATTTTATTTTCTGATTTTTTTTGCCAATATGTAAGACAGAGCATTTATTTGTTGAGATTTGAAGTTGCCATTTGTTTGACCATTCTGATACATAGTCAAGATCTTTTTGTAGGGTAGCAGTATTGTCTGTGGTATTGAACAGCTTTACATCATCAGCGAAAAGAACGTAATTGCTCTTAATATGATCACAGAGGTCATTTATGTAGAGTATGAAGAGAGTTGGTCCTAGAACACTGCCTTGGGGGACACCACTATTGACAGGTACAGAATTTGATAGGACACTCCCAATTTTGACCATTTGTTGTCTGTTTGCCAGGAATGCTTCTATCCAGTTATTCAGTTGTCCAGAGATACCATAGGATTTTATTTTTAGGAGTAGTTTGTCGTGTACCACTGAATCAAAGGCTTTACAGAAGTCTATGTAGATTGCGTCTATTGCTTTGCCCTGGTCGAGTTGTGTCGTCCATATGTTTTTGCAGTGTAAGAGTTGCAGATTACAGGATAGTTTTTTTCTGAAACCAAATTGTTTATTGGAGAGTAGGTTGTTTGTCTCTAAGTGGAGGATGATGGATTGGTTAATAATTGATTCCATGACTTTACAGGTGACGAAGCATAAGGAGATCTTTCCTTGGTTTATAATACACAGCATAAGATGTATCAACTATGTTGGGATCTAAAATGTTCCTTAGTTAGGAATGGAAGAAATCCAGTCTTCAACTTGATCACATCCTGGTTTACTGGAAATTAATAGCTAAAGGGAAACTTATGACAGCTTCAATCCAATCCAGCATCAGATTGGGAAAGACTGAATCAGAACCTTCATAAACTAAATGCCATTTTTATTCCATGATCCACACCATTCTGAATACTGAGACGTGGCAGAATAACTCATCCTAGTCAAGTATCACTGGCCATGCTGATTTGAACGTGGTTAGGATTGTCCAGCTCTTCTGGAAGGCCCCAGGTTGGAGAATACAGCTTAAAATAAAAATTGCACATCATTTTTAAAATGATATGTCATTTGACTCTCAATGGGATTTACCTCTGTATAAGCATGCATAACATGAAGTGCAGATTCATAAATCTCTTCAGCTCACTCGCTATACTTTCAATTTATCTGTGCAAGAGCTTGTTTTTATCATAAATCTGCAGGTTAGTTGTAGATCTGACAGATTGCAGGATGTCTGGTTTGGCAGGTGAATATTACATAGAAGGAAGGGGAGACACGTCTGTTGAATTTATTTCAGCTGTTGAGACATGTTGCTGAGATAGTTTGAGGCTTATATTAAATTCAGATAGTTAACAATAAAAGATAGGAATACTCCATTTTAAACTGTAATCCTAATCTTACTGGTGGGGATTCATGGAATGTAGTTTTATAGCTTTTGTGAAACTCTATAGATCATCATTTTTTGAAATGCATTGTTAAACTAGATTCATTGCAAAACACTAACTTGTGATTAATTGAACCACAGTTCATTATTTTAACTGGGTTTATATCACATGCTAAACTGCAAGTTAGCTTGATATTTTAGTTTAGCATTTTGTGTAAATCTAGCTATAAACTAGAATGGCTGAACACTTTTATAAAATTCCAGAGAACAAATTACAGTGGTACCTTAGTACTCATCTTTAATTTGTTCCAGGAGGTGCGATGAGTCCAAAAACCATGAGTACCAAACAAAATTTTCCCATAAGGAATAATAATATAGTGAGTCACAAGGCAGCTCACACTGACAAGTTCTAGTTTATGCATTGAGTAGCAAACAAATGATAAGTACAGGGACTTTTTCACATAAAAATGCCTTGAGTACCAAATTCGATGAGTTTCAAAGCAGTTGAGTACCAAGATACCACTGTATTATAGTGGAATAGCTGTAGTACTAATTAAGGACACTTTGCAGTTAAACAAATACTAGTTTGTAGATGAACAAAGTCTAAATTAGAATTACAATACAAACTGCAATCTTGTTTATATCCAAACTAGCTCCATACTCCTGCTTCGCTATGTGATCAGGCTTATGGAAACTGAAACAGTATTTGCCGTGTGAGCAAGGAGACAGCAAGGAGCCTGGGTATGGCTTAGCTCAACTGTTCTGTACTAAAACTGGTTGCTGGTGTGAAACTAAAACTGAAATTCCTCTCCTCTGCTTGTATTTTGCATTTGGAACAGATTTCTTTTCAGATGGGGAGGGGGGAATAGAACTCCTTAGCATCAGAGCGTGTTAATAATAATATACGAAATACTAATGCTCTGATGGTCATTTAAAAAAATCCTTTCTTAGTGAGCACCTAGAAGCCAAGAGGAACATGTGCCAAATTTCAAGTTTGTAGGCTTTACGGTTCTGGAGATTTTGTGATGATGTGTGAGTGGTATTTTGGTTTTATATTCTGTATATAAGAAAGAAGAAAGACAGAAAGATAGATAGAAGAAGTCCGGGTGAATTCTGCAGCTAGCTTTCTGATAAGCTTGCTAGTGAGTCTTTGAAGGTTACACGTTACTGCAGTGGTTACAATGCTGTATTGCAGGCTGATTCTCCTCACTGCCAGGAGTTCCATCCTGAGAGGACTCGAGGTTGACTCAGCCTTTCATCCTGAGGTTGATAAACGAGGACCCATATTATTAGGAAAATATGTTGACTGCTTAGAGAGGGCTGTAAAGCACTATGAAGTAATATGTAAGTCTAAGTTTATTGCTATCTACATTGTCAACATTATAAATATATATTGAACTAATTAAGCTAAATTATTTCTGCAGCTTACAGCTTTGTGGATTTCTAAAAGTAAGTGAAGGGGAACTCGATACATACAACACACTAGATCAAACTTCTCTAACATAGCACCTTCCTACGTTAGGATCAGAACTACCAATTTGTCTGATCAGCAACCTGAG